GACCAATAATCACCATCCCAACTTGAGTGGGAGTTATAATATTTGTCATTTCCAATTGTTACAAGACTTTGACTTGTTAATGCAAAAAATGATCTGTATTTAGATGCATTCATACAGTCTTTCATTAAGTAAAATAATTCCAAGAAGCTGTCATTGCCTACAGACTTCCATTTTTGCAAGAATCTGTACTAATGCTACTCTGGCACTTTCACAAATATGTAGCTGTTTCATAATGTGCATGGTCCCAAGATTACAATGAAAAGCACAGAATATTTTCTGCCCCCTAAAGTAAAGGTTCGCCAACTTTGCTGTGGCCTGTAAGCTCTGAGCTGTACTGTACCTTGCGGTTAAGGTTTGCTCTGGAGTCATCTTTCATCCTGTTAGGGGAGGAAATCTGCCTCAGGAGTTCCCTTTTTGCAGGTGCCAGGTTTTCCTGCTCCATACTTTCTAGCTTAAACCTCCTCCAGTCACTGATGACTCCTTTTGGACCTAGGAATAGGACAAAACATTTTATATTCAGTTCTTGACAGGTGTATCTCAGACTAGCCAACTCTGTAGAAGTGGTGGAAGAAGTACCCAGATTGTTAATTAGGTACAAGTACAGTACCACACTGTAAAAATAAGCAAAGGTTCTGCATTCAAAATGTTAATAACATAACAGCACTAAAGTATTAGCATCAAAATATACAAAAGTATAAAAAGTAAAAGCACTCATTATACAGAATGGCACATTTCACATAAATGTATATTATATTATTGGATTTTAATTATTGACATGACATGTTATAATTTGACAGACAGATCCATGAAAACATATTCTGAAACAGTCATAATTTAGTCCTAGTCCAGTAGGTAACTTGGTTGCAGTTTCACAAAACAGCATTTGAAATTTTTATTCTCAAGGCACAAATAATGCAGCTATATTACTGGTGGATAGCGTGTCCCGTTTCAATTTGGAGATTAAAGGCTCATCTCAACCATGTAGGAAGTGAGCTAATTGCAACAGTGTTGTGAAAGAAAAAGAAGATCAGTTAAAGTGACAGAGCTCTACTTGACTCTGCGTTGGTCTACCTGTTATCTGTCCATAACCAGTTACTCTGTGAAAAATGCATTTGTCCTCATAAAATACCATTTTGTAACGAAATGTTTTATTCAAGGTAGAATGATGACTAACACCTGAAGTGTTGGTTTTCTGACCAGAGGTTCAGATAAAGGCCATCAGGCTGTAATAAAGTCCATTTACTGTGTGATATGTGAAGGCCTTGCTACTACTCACCTGTGCGGGTTGCAGTGTCTTCAAAATCAATCAATTTGTCAGACATGTTTTTGGTTTAGCTACCTGTGAGACAAAGAAGGAGTTAAAGGAGGCCCTGCATATGATGTAGACATGATCAGGGTGCTGCTGATATTTGAATAAATAATTAACTTATTTTTCTAAACAGTTAATGACCTGCAGCACTTTTTTGTTTTCATTATCTTCAGTTAGATAGAGATTTTAAATCTTTGGACAGTGACAGAACTACTGGATACCAGAGAGTCCCATGCTATTTAATTAAATTAATGCAGTCTAAGAGGATTACTGCAACTGTTTGCTGTTAGCCTGCAGAGTTACTGGTTTCAGGTGGAAATGTTGCCAACTAAACTCACAAAACAATTTGAAAACCAAATTGTACACCAACACCAGCAAACTTAAACAGATGAAAAATGCTGTATAATGTAAATATCTTCATTTAGTTTCCAGTTTATGATGTGTGATTTCATTTGCTCAGGAATTGCAGTTGTTCAGTGTTTATTTGCATTATTTGCAATATACCACAACATTTTGTAATGTCTGTGGTGTCACTGGAACATATGTGTGACGTATATGTAGAGCCAATATCTCATTAGATTAAATGGCCTGTCCCCACTGTTTCATTTAGTGTAGTCTTCCTTCCTGCATGCTGTCACAGTGATGATCGCTGTAGCAACCACGCTAACCCCCAAATCCACAAGTGGAGATCAGTTCTAGCATGAGCAAATGAAGTCATATAGATGTTTCAGTTCAATATGTGAGCGAGCGACAATTAACTGTAATCAGCTGACTTTCAGTTAGACACATACCCGGTACTAAACACAGTAGTGAAGGAAATATTATTATTCTTTACAAAAGTGAGTAATTTAAAAGAAAGGAATAAAAGAGAACTGGGAAATTAGCATTTCATACTCAATGTTGTGTAAATGGCAATTTATATACATGGAAAAGTCAATATGGCTGAAATGTATGTAAAATCATATTGTATAGACCAAAACCAACTTATCTGCTACTTCCCATTTGTATCCACTGCTACACAAGCTGATTTCACTCCATTATCCTCAGAAAACAATAGAAATCAGTAGAGTTTTTCTTACCTCCCACAGTCACAGCCAAGTCTGTCAATGGCTAACGTGCACTGAGCTATCTGTTGCTAGATGGCTTGTGTTTGAATGAGCTTGGTCTAATGGAGATTTCAAAAAGGATCCCGTAAACCAAACAGAAATAGGGCACAGATCCTAAGAGGATTTCAGTCCAGGAACTAGATGCCTCTACTTGTTAAAGGCCTGACCACACACAATGAAGGGAGAAAGAGAGGAAAAGAACTGAACATTTTTTCCCCAAAGCTTTGAAATGTTTCATTTTTACCGTAAACCTAACTAGTTGATTGTTGAAGAGCAGTACATAAGAGCTGCTTAGTTTCATGTGTTTTTCTATAAACAGGACTTGAAGGGTTAACTCATATATCCTCGCGATGACCTCTCAAATAAAGTGATGTCTGGAATTTGAACTTCTTCCAGGCATAAAGCTTCACACGAACATGATTACATGAGAATCTTTCAATGCACAAAACACCGCTAGCTAAGGGAGTGGACTGTCTGGTGATGCTTTATCACATGCATCCTGATTGTTTTCAACACAAAAGTCTCCACACCTCCTAAACTATGATTTTTGTCTTTCACAAAGAGCTTTAAAGTTACTGAAATACATTTTTATATTCACAAACATCTCATAAATATTTTGTGAGGAAAAAAACTGAACATTTGAACTAAGATATATAAAAGATTAGATTTTACATTGTTGCTGTAAACAAGTTAGAAACACTAAACACACCACACTAAAGGTTTTGTGTAGTTAGGTACTTGACGTAATGGAAAAATAAAGATCAAAAGATTTAATCCATTCTTATATTAATAGTTCTGTAATAAGATTCCTGTTCTCTTTGTATGTCTCTATCACTCAAGAATTTGTTTTCCTGTGGTCGAAGACGTACTGAGATGTTTTACTTAAGTAGGAGGAACAATGTCACAGTGCACAAATACACAAGTGAAAGGTCTGCATTCAAAATTTTTCTTAAGTAGCAAAATGTACTCAAATCAAATTTGCTAATAACTGAAAATGATCCATTTTAGAGTGTTATGTTTGTCATAAATATATTACTGGTGTATTTTTACTGATTCATTAACAGGCAGGCAGCACTTTAACATTGGAGCTGTTGGGTAGTTAGTTAAATTGATCATCTGTTTTGTATATAAAATCTTGATCTGAAAAGCAACCATAATTTTGAAATAATTGTGGTGTGGTACAGTATTTTCTTCTAAAATATAATGGAGTAGAAGCACAGAGTATCAGAAAATAGAAATGCTCAAGTAGTAGTATATTTTAACATTTTCCCTGCAAAAGTACAGTGTTTCATTATGCTAATCGAAGGCTGCGCTTAAGAAGGCACCAGCTTTACTGTGACAGTGAGTGTTCTGATCCCTAAAGTTTTACATTAGAACAGCATAAATTCAGCCAGTACATTGCACTTGGTATCTTTCCACAAGTTGCAGTGTGAAAAATACATCTTGTAGGAGACATAATGATGGCTGGGTTATGTTCGGAGGCCACGTATTTTCCAAATAAATGATGCACTATAATCACATTTCATCCTGAATGTATTTGCTTTTGCAGTTTAGTTTCACAGCAACGTAATTTCTAGAAGACAAGGTTACAGTGTGAAAAGAAACCCCTCAATCATGCTTAATTCTTTGTTTCCCTTCATGCCTCACCGTAAGCTGTCCTTTAGCTGAATTCTGAATCACTACAGTGCAAACAGGGAGGGTAAATGCTCCGCACACCCACACAATATTTAATTCCTGTCCTTTGTCTCAGTGTCTCTGTGGCCTGCATTTACTGGCTTAAAGGATTAGCAGACTTCAGGTACACAGACTGTACATGTCAGGTGAGTTAAATGCAACTCAGGACCTTCTATGCAAAAATGTCTGCCGGCAACAGGTGTGAGTTCAATATCAGCAGTGGTGCCTGCATGCCTATCTATCTAAAACAATTCAAATTTTACAACCAAAAACACAGGGTCACATGCCAGAAAGGTGCAAGTTTATTGAATGCGTATTCAAAAATACAATGACTTAATTCAAACAGCAAAGGACTAAAGGACTCAAACAACATACTGCAGTGTGAGCAGGCCCACGTCAACATGGTGTCATGATTCGGTTGTTTGCTTCCTGTCATGGTTTTATTTTGACGTTACTTCCTGTTTTTGTTTCATCACAGTTTCGGTCTTTTTACTTTAAACGCACCTGTTTTTCATCACATTATAAGCAGCCTTCCCCCACCAGTGTCAGGTTTGCCCGGCTACACCTTCCTCTCTTCTCTTTCCTCACACTAGCCTAGCCCTTGCACTGATTACACTATTCAACACACCTGCCCCGCTTCCCCGATTACTCACCAGCTGCACCTCATTAGTCTCCTCCATACTTATACACTTATCTGTGCATATTCTCAGTCATCCAGGACATAGTAAACCGCAACCGAAATAACCTTGGAAATCAACTGGACTTCCTTGGAAATCAACTGTTTATCTATGCTCCTCTGATTACAACCATTATGACCTCCACCTCCAGTTGATTTCCAAGGAAGTCCAGTTGATTTCCAAGGTTATTTCGGTTGCGGTATACTTATACACTGTTCACCAGTCACTCCCCTGCTAGTTCTTTCTCTGTTATTTTGTTTTGTTAAGTATATGCTAAGATTGTCATTGTTCTCTCTTGTCCTCGTTAGTACCCTAGTCTTTATCCTGCCCTGCAGTCTCTAGTGTCGTCTTCCTCTTCGGACCTCTCCTCTGGACCCCCCTGGATTCATTCAACACCACCAGCCACCGCCTCCCAGGTCGATGCACAGTCTCCCTTACCCTGTTTATCCATGCTCCTCTGATTACAACCATTATGACCTCCACCTCGACCAGCCCAGGAGTGACCTCTACGTCCGCAGCCCGGGCCGTCATCATCCATCATACCACTGACTGTTTTTCTGCTGCCACTGATCGACACCCGGTCATCTACCTCACTATTCCTCCTGTATATACTTCACTAACCTTCACTGTAAATAAACCTCACTGCTTGCACCGAAGCCGGCCACCTGGGTCCGCTTCTTATCTGCTCGCTCACTCTGTATTATAACAACGAGTCACTTGTCAGATTGTTCTAGACTCCAGCTTTAACTCTCAAGGGTATTTTTTGGTTTTGGTATTTTGTGTTCGTGTACTTTGACAATTCTGTTCTGCCTTGCCCTCTTGTTTCGGACTGCTTCCTTGTGTATGAATTATCGGACTTCTCTTTTGGACTACGAACTGTGGAGTCCTTGGATGTATGTGTGTGCTGGCTCTGACCATGGACTGTTGTACCGACCTGTAAGAGTGTTTCGTGTTTTCACCATGTTTTGTCTCGTTTTTGTTCAGCGTTAGTGCTCTTAATAAAGAGACAGTTATTCACGTATCCTCATCTGGTCATTTAATCGAGTTCACCCACAACATCATTGGCAGCATCATGCGCCGTTCCTGACACATGGATCATAGCCCACAGCGATGTCTTATAGAACAAACTTTCGAACATACGGGAGATATATCAGCACTTGACTAGAAAAGGCATTTCAGTGTCTGTGTGTGCAGAGGATTGTGTCGCCCCGTTTCATTATCATGGACTATTGTATCACTGATCTTGGCTGGGTAAAACACTGACACCAGGTCAAGTCTCTCGCTCCTGTTTTAAACACTAGAGGTCAGTCTTTTGTCGTCATGATCATGTTTTCACATGTACTGTAATTTAGAGTAACTATGCAGTTTTGCAAAGAAATACAGTTTACATTAATATAATAATGTCCCTTTATATATATTTGCATTACTGCAACACACCGGGCACATAGTATAACCTGTCAAATCCTAATATCAATATTTCTCCTATATTTTTTTATTGTATTAGATCCATATCCTGTTGACCAGATCTGAATATACAGCCTTTGATCATTTGTTACATCTCCACATGTGTACTCCTGTACATGAATATATCATTGCACACTTATATGTAGGACTTAAAATACACTGTAGAGCTACTTAGTTTCAAAGAGCCTCATTGCCTTTCATAAATCTATGCTGAGGTTTATGAATATTGAGGTTTTGTTTGAGAAGCTCAGATGAATCCCACAGATGAAGCTCAACAAATGTGAATTGTAAATCTCCTGTACTACTGTCTTGCATACGTTATATATGGATAACGTATTTTACTTGTAATAAATCCTCAATGTGTGTCTTCCATGTGCTATATATAGGTACAATAGGCGAGCCCTTCATGCTCCTCAGGTGACTCAGGTATGCGTGCATTCCTGAGTCAAGCTGAGGAATTAGCTAAATTAGGCAATGGCTTTCCCCAAGGCTATTCATCATTCACTTAATAATGGTGACAGACACTCACCACATGGGTTACCTTTTGTCAGTGTTAAGAAAAGAGTAAAACATGTGCTACTTCTTACTACAGGAAATCTCTTAAGCAGTCTGTTTATTTTGTCTTTGATTCCTGACAAAAGCATTCATTATATCTAGAAGTAATCTCTTTAGAAATACTTTCAAGCACACATAGTAGCCCTTTTTTTTTACCTGTCTCTAATACTCGCACACAATACACCTTTTCACAATCACTGGCAAACTGCCTGTTGTGTTAGCACCTGGTTTGTTGGACCATGTGAGTTATTTCCACTGGCCTGGCTCTGACCTGCAGTAGATGTGGCTTCCTTTCTGACATTCTTATTGCCCTTAGGAACACTGATTCTTCCAAAATGATGACAGGTGCAGGCTATTACATTGTTATGAGAGGTAGTCTGAAAGTCCAGCCTTGCTTTATTTGGGGCCACTGCCAACACATTTCTGTTGCGCTGACTCATGAGTTTTCACTTCTCCAGTTCGTAGAGAATGGGATTATGAACTATTCTCATCTCTCACTGCATCTGGGTAACAATTTTCTGAAGCACACAAATATATATCATATAACACTGGAACTAGCCCAAACTATAAACCACCGTTACGATGACACAATGAGAGCCAAAATGTGTTTTTCAGAAGGCAGTATGGAGACAGTATATTAAGTTTCTTTAGCAGGTTTTGACACAGGGTCAACTTTTCCCAAACCGACAACCACACCTACTTCCTGCAGCCAGGTACACACAGGTGGAAAAACAGGCAGAGCTCTCTGTCTCCTCAAATTCTCTAGTAAAAAAAACTTTTATGCCAACACCTATTTCCCTCCCAGCAGGTTCTTAGAACTAATTAAAATATGACCAGTACTGGGGAAACTACTTTGAAAGCTACCAATGACTTCACACTAAAAGAAGTTGAACTACAGGAAAGCTGCTTCAGGGAGAAATAGGGTTGTAGGGGGGCTGGAGCCAACCCCAGCTGACATTGGACGTGAGGTGGTATACACCCTGGACAGGTCGCCAGTCTATCACAAGGCTGACACTTAGAGACAAACAACCACACACACTCACACTGACTCCTACGGGCAATTTAGAGTCACCAATCAATCTAAGCCACACGTCTTTGGACTGTGGGAGGAAGCCGGAGTTAAAAAGTTTGTGGTTAAATAGTTGGACATCTTGACAAAACCCCTTGATTCACTCTCTCTGCATGTTTGTGTGATTAGGTCTATTGTGCAACACCAAATAGTTCAGCGAGTAGTGCGTAACAGAGAGGGTTGAGGGAGACAGCAGTCACACACTTCCTCTATTCAGCCACTGTTTCTACTATCAAGACCCATTCATAAATATTAGTCATCCACAGCTATGCCTGTGTTTGTGTTTTCAACTTAGGACCCCTTTTTACTGTTTTGAGCTCAGAGGGAAAAAGTGACGCACACTTTACAAACGTTGCACAGTTATACATTATCTAACCTTCCACAGGGAGGGATGGCGGGAGGACAGCGCAAACCGGGGGAAAGCTGAAGTCTCAGTTAGTCAGTCAGAAGGTGGTGATGGACCAAGAAAATGACTCTTAATATCTGCATGGTGCTGGATTTTTGGACTGGTTTCTAATCAAATGTGTCATATAATGAAATCACATATTATCTCAAAATGTGCCACTGATGAGACAAGACTATTAATTGACTTATCATGACCATGTCGAATATTTCAAGGGGAAAAAAGAAATGAAAAGATAACAGTAATCAATCAGATATGTAGATGCATATTAGCAAATAAATCAATTAAACATTAGCAAAAAATAGACGGTAAACTAATAAATATTTAAAATAAGATTTAAAAAGCAAGAAGTAAAACAAGAGTTCAGATTAAAGATTTTTCAAGAAGCAATTTAAAAGATGAACTGAATTTCTAAGTCATGAGCACAAAATTAACAAGGGTTTATAAATAATATTAATCAATTTTATACTCAAGCTATGAGTGATAATGTTTTTACTTTAAGGACATTTTTTTCACAGCTGAATGTATAATCTTCCAAATTTTGTTTGTCTCAGTATTTTGCAGATTGACAAATCAATTAATTGTTTCAGCTTTAGTGATCTGTGTAGTTATCAAGCTTTGGGCCATTTAAAAATTGAACTCATAAATATATACGTATGAGTATCTTACACAATATACTAAAGCTTACTGAATCAAATGAATCAAATACAAAGTATCTAATTAGTTTTATTGCTAAGCTATAACAAAAACAAAATATTGCTTCATAACTCAGATCATTACACGAGTTCCTCTATGCTTTTGAAATACTGTAATACAAATGACAAGATGCTTCTTAGGTACAACCACACTGTCTGTGTGACTCAGTGGCTGTTACAACTACAACAAGAAGCACTTAGACCAGGCTTAGACCAGCTCAAACTTGTCACTGACAACAGGATCTCAGTCAGTGGTTTTCGTAGAATCACAGCCAACTGTGT